TTAAAGATCCCTTGGTGGTCTAAAATCGATAAGAGTAGGCTTCGGCCGCCACCCGGGCAAAATTCAAAATTTCCTACCAACTGAAAATATTAGTGGGGTGACGATTAAGATATTTATCGTAATTACATTCAATTCACTAATTTGTCCCAGCGCAGGCATGGGCAAACTATGGCACGCGGGCCAGATCCTGCCCGAGAGGAAATAATGTAGTGCGACCTGCGAGTCGACCCAGTGATTGTTACTTATAAATCTAACCCGCAATGAGTTGATAATTAATTCATAAAAACAAAACTGTTCGTCTTGAAAGTGAAAATAAATGGTTTCCGGCGCAGCTGAAAGTAAACAATAGATCTAATATTCTCTCTAAATGAAACTCTCTTGAGTGACACGATATTTATTGCTTTAGCGTCAGCTTTTGCCTTACTTTTGAGGGCTTGCTCATTTCAACCGATTTCACCCAACTCACTCGCTGATAGAAGTCGGATGTCCTGCGGGCATGCGGTGGCTAGTGCACCTGCCTTCTCAGCTGAAATGTTAATAAGATAATAATGATAATTAATATTAATGATACATGTAATTGCATTTTATGTATTACATGTTTTAGGACATGCCCTGTATGGTCTTTAGAACGATTAATGGTATTTAATCGTAATGGTATATCCAGATCTTCATTTTTTTAAAAATTTAAGGGCGTTTCTTCAAACATATTTTGTTGGCGATTAGAGGACGCCACTAGTGGGTGAGTCCCACGTTTTATTTCCTTTTGTTTCATAACTCTGTCTGCCTTACTCGCTCGTGGGCGGTTGGATGGTGCTCTCGTGTGATTTTCTCCTTCTTTCCAATTCAAAAAATATGTGTTTGTGTTGCAAGTGCTGTAAATCTCTTATTAATTTAAAACTAAAACTAAAACTTGCTGGTCCCTAGGACTAAATTACTGTTATATTACGTCAATGCACTTTTCAGTACTCAAACGTCTCTAGTATGTTTACACCCTTAGAACAACTCACTTACCCATCGCCTGTTTAGCCTTTCAGCTGTAGTGTGTGGCTCTTTTCGTCTATGCAGACGGTCAATTTAGCTTAAAATAGTCTCAATGTTGTCTTTATGCAACTTCTTTCTTGTTTAAAGCGCACATTCTGTTCAAATCAGAAACACAAATTTGTACATCTTGTAGTAAACATGTCCTTTTTTTCGACTTTCAGATTTAAAAAATCAGAAATGAAAAAATCTTTTCGAGCTATGAAGTTTTATTTTCATGTGCTCAAGAATTGTTTTTTCAGATTCAAACTCTAAATTTTAATGTTGAAAATATAAAGAAAAGATACATAATGTACATGGCCTTTTTTGGAAGAGTGAAACAGTTGTTTGTTCTCTCTCCTGGAAAATTTGGTTTTCCGTGTGTATCACATATTTTTGAAAGCTTGCCGGCAATATATAAGTAGAAATAACTAAGTTGTTTGCATAACTACATGTAAATTCTTTCCTCTTTATTATTGCAGGTGCTGTTATGAGAAAAGGAATCCAACTTTCTTACACAGAAGCTCAGGAGGTGAACATCACGTGAGGTCAAAGTGGCTCTCATCCAACGTCGAACACAGCAAAGGTGTCTGTTATATTAAGCGATGGCTGTAGTAGACTCTATGATAAGTGAACCCACAACTCTTATGAATAACGAACCTCATGAACGAAAGATTCTATGACAACAGTCGTCTTGCCGATCATTAATTGTTTCGTTAATTGAGTCAATGTAGAACGATTTTGAGGGTTTTTTAAAATATTCTCTTCTCACCGCTGTGTTGAGCTGGTCTTTTGACTTAGCCCCTTGAACAGTATCAATTGAGAGCTTCGTTTCAGTCATCCTGTGAAAAATCTATCGCGACATTTTCATTTATTGTGTTGACATTTTAAACGAAGACGTGCGTGAAATCTTCACGACTTGTTCAGAAAACGAATAGTAAAGTAATGCTATGACATTCGGATTATGGGAGCCTGAACTCGCGTTGCTGTGAATGTTTTGCGTTTTGTGTTTCGCTTCTGTCGGCTCAGAGTGGGGTGGTGGGTACTTGGAGAACAATGAGACAGCAGAGGTGATGCTGACTGCCCATTACAATGAGAGGTGGGCACAATCCGGATAATTTATAAAGATAACCGGATAATTGAAACATTATCCGAATTCAGATTCGTAACTCTATTTCCTGACTCGTTTGCCGAAGTGGGTGCACCCATTTGTTGAAGTAGTGCTAACCCCTTTGTCGAATTGCTTCTAACCCATTTGCCCAGGCGGTTCATATATTATTTGCCGAGAGGTGCACTTACATATTATCCGGATTTTGCTACAGCGACTCATTGCCCAGACATACATGCAATGACGGTTTTCAGCGGTCAGACCCAAGGAAGACCCCTCGGCCTCAGTTGTAATCGGACTGAGAATTTCCTTTGGCCTCAGTTGTTGTAGCCCGACTGAGAACTTAGCTGGGCCTCGGTTGTTGAAGCTGAACTGACGACGGACGATCCGTGGCCATAGTTGTTTGTAGCTGGACTGTCGAGACCTGATACAAACGATGAAGAGACAACTCTGTGTTCTAGTTGGCATTTTGCTGGTGAGTAAATTCCTTCTTCTTCTTCTTGTTCTTCTTGTTCTTGTTCTTTTCGTTCTTTTTGTTCTTGTTGTTGTTGCTGTTGTTTTTTTGTGGGCTGTTGTTGTTGTTGTTGTTGTTGTTGTTGTTGTTGTTGTTGTTGTT